ACTCCTGCTGCTGTAAAGAGGGAAGCTGACTGGGTGGAAAAGAGAACCACAGAGCCTTGCATGAAAAATGCTATTAAATTCTGACCAGAAGTTGGACATGTCATGAAACAAAAAAAGGCAGAAGAAATCTTATCTCTTATTTAATGAGTTAGCCATTCCTGTCATTTTTCATAGCTATCAGCTAATAGGGTGCATAGAGAGAACATTATGAAATGATGTCATACCTTGGGGGCATGTCACCCACTTACCATAAGCATATTTCATTTGGCAGAAGTCAGTGACACTTCCAAGCACCTTTTCTTTGCACACACACTTTTCTAGCAGGGGAACCACAGAACACAAAGGGTTGGAGAAGAGCCAGAACATGAGAGAGAAAAGAAAACCAAGTTAGATTCAGTTATAAAGTTATATATATATAGTTTCCATAATCTGGATGGATCTAAAGAGTAAGTTTGAGAGTGAGCTCAGTTATTTGCAAACCTGTTTCTTGTTAGATGATACAATAATTGTTTTTAAATCTGATCAGTACTGTCAAGCAAAATGCAGCCCTCATGTGGCCTGTTGTGCAGTTAATAAACTGATACCAATAAAGTGATTTGTAAGAATCAGATCCAGGTGTAAATCATGTAAATTATAATATCTTTGATCCCATAAGCTAAGAAATGTTGGCCCTCACTGCTATTAAGGTAATAACCCTCTCAGAAAAGTAAAAATATGCAATAGGTTCCACTGTAATCTCTGGGTCTTACAAAACCACTGATGCTGATAGGTGCTGACTTTCATATATAGCAAGCAGAACTGAGACCTATTTAAATATTAAAGGCTCCACCTCATTTTATAAGCCTGTTTATTTTGTAACTTTAGCTAGATACAGTATACTTAACTTTCTCTCCTGAGCTGTTACATAGTGAGGACTATTTTACTCTTAAAAGCACTTGCCTTCCACCCAGAGGTGACACATTTCAGTGACATCTGACATGACATTTTTACAAATAGCACTTGAAATACTGCACATCAGCTGAATGCTTGAGAAGGAGCTGTGTAAAATCACAAGCATCATGACTATAATTACAGCCACAAAAGGAGAGTATTTTTTCCACACAATCTTATTGATGAATTACCAGTTTTCATACCCAGAGTTTGATAGTACAATTGGTTTGGAAAACAACAGTGTGAGGGGAATGATAACCTATATAGTTCAGATTAGTGGATGTTGCCAGCAGATGGGGGACAGACAAGCTAGATATGAGTGGGGGAAATCACGTCAGGGTGGAGAAAAGAAAGAATTGGCACTCAGTTAAGTTTCAGAGTGTTCCCAGACTCTGCATGGTACCTGGGTGCCTCAGTGCAGAAAATCCCTGCTCATGGTCATTCCATTTCCACTCCTCCTCACTCTCGTTGGTTGGCAGTTGCACAAGGTCAGGGATTCGTCCCCCAATGGGGATGTTAAAGAATGGCTCATTGTCATAGCTGGAGGGGCACACAAAACAGAAGACTTGGTTAGGATATGAGATGGCTGGGAAGCAGGTGATTGTAACATGTAACAAGAGCTTGCTTTCTTCAGACTGGGAGTGCCAATAAAAAGAAGACTTCATGCTATAGAGAGAGATCACAGGATCTAGATTTTTACTTAGACCTTACCCCTTTTAACAATTTTTTGAAAGTAAATAGGTATTGGGCCTTTTTTTGCTTTTGATTGTTTGTTTTTACTGAAATAAGTAACTTTAAGTTAGTCATGACTTGCTGAAATCACTAGGAGCTGAGAACACCTGCAGGACCCATAAAACTGCAGTCATGCAGCTTATCTCAGAGATTCTCTGCTGATCAGTGCATGTTTGAGGTACAGACAGATGCCTGCCCTCTAGAAACAAGAGGGAAACCTTGTAATTCATTTTACCCTGGGCACAGATGAGAAGCAAACTCCCCAGACTCTTCCATCTATTTCCAAGGCAGACAGATGTATTTAAAGATGCTGTACATGTTTGCCTGGGTTTGTGGAGCTGCCTATTACTGCTAAAAGTCATCATTTCAAAATTGCCTTGAATAATACAATGCACTTGTGTGCCAGCCACCAAATGGTATCTAAGAAACCTTTTATGATGTACAGCCACCTCTTCAAATGATTGTGCACCCTCCAGCATCCTCCAATTGCTGTAACTGCTGCAGTATACCAGTTAAACTCCATTTCATTTTACAGCATCCCATCTGAAAGTGTACCCAAAAAAGAGGGCTTCTTTACCCATTGAAACAGTTCCCAGTATGCTGGTCGCAGTCTCTGGCACAGTCACAAGGGCGACAGCCGTTTTCTCCAAAGCCCCAGTAGCCCATGAGACATCTGTCACAGTTGGGACCTGCCACACCTGGCTTGCAGTAGCAGAATCCAGTCTTGGGGTGGCATCTCCAGCTTCTGCTGAAAGTTGCATTGGCTGAACCCATTGGCTGGCAGGAGCAAGCTATGGAGATACATGAAGAGGTGACTGAGATTATGTGCCCGGGGGTCATGTGCTTAAGTAACATTTTTGCAAGGCTGATAAACTCATACCCTCTGCCTTATGCTTAGTAGTTTTAAGTCAGAACTGGTAAACAATGCATGGTTAGCCTGCAGTACTGTCTATGAGTAAGGAAGCTGAGTGAGCCAGCCTTGTGCTCAGGTGGCCAAGAAAACCAACAGCATCCTTGCTTGTATCAGAAATAGCATGGCCAGGAGGACTAGGGCAGTGATTATCCCCCTATACTTGGCACTGGTGAGGCTGCACCTCAAATACTATGTTCAGTTTTGGGCCCCTCATGACAAAAAGGACATTGAGGGGCTGGAGCATGTCCAGAGAAGGACAACAAAACTGTTGAAGGGTCTACAGCACAAGTCTTACAAGGAGTGGCTGAGGGAACTGGGGCTGTTTAGCCTAGAGAAAAGGAGGCTGAGGGGAGACCTTCTTACTCTCTACAACTGCCTGAAAGGAGGTTGGAGTTGTTGGTATCTTCTTCCAAGTAACAAGTGACAGGAAAAGAAGGAATGGCCTTGAGTTGCACCAGGGGAAGTTTAGATTGGATATTGGGAGAAATTTTTTCACTGAAAGAGTTTCAGGCATTGGAACAGGCTGCCCATGGAGGTGATGGAGGCACTGCCCCTGGGGGTGTTTAAAAGGTGTGTAGATGTGGTGCTGAGGGATATGGTTTAATGGTGAAATTGGCAGTGCTGGGTTAATGGTTGGACTTGATGATCTTACAGGTTTTTTGCAACCAAAATTGTTCTATGATGTTTGTTTGTTGGTTTTTTTTGTTTGTTGTTTGTTTTTTTTTTTTGGTACAAATACATGAACAGATTTGTTATAAGGAAGGCAAACAGAATGAGAGAAGAGCTCACCAGATGTATTTTACATGTAGCTGGAAATGAGCAAATAGAAGAAAACTAGATCTTTCTAATGCTATTACTAGTTTGACAGCAACCTGGCAACTCAAGGCAACTTGAGAGTAAAACAGCTCCTGTGGGCAACTCTGTCTTCACAGACAGTAAATTGTCATAATCCCACACCACCAGTTCATTCCCAATGTGATAGCATCAGGAAGTGAGGTGGAAAGTAATATACAGTGGTGCAAAACCAATACAGTTGAGTCCTCTCCATCAGGGCAGAGGCTAGCTGAGATGGTCAAGCCTTCTGCCAACAGCTCTACAGAAGTAAAATGCAATCAATAAACATAGCCACTCTTTTCTGTTATTTAAACAAGCTTGATTAAAATGAGAACTGAGCTGGACTCCAGGCCTTCAAATTTCAGCTCTTTTTTTCTATTAACAAAGCAGTGTGCCCTGGATTTTGCATGTAGCAGGGACTGAAAAGGAAATGTATCACTATTTCATACATCTAGAAGAGAGCAGAAATAATAATCTTGTGGCTAAGATTGGCTTTAACAAAGATTTTCAGTTAAATGTTGGACACCCAAGGTGTTTAGATAGCTTGGATCAGGGGCCAGCCTTTTGGATGCTTATCTGAACCAAACACTATCTCCAGGCTTTTGAAGTTTGCCCATCATTGCTTCTAATCAAACTACTTTTCTTCATGAGCTCACAGATAAGAGACCAAATGAACACACTGACTCCACACATCATTTTCCAAGGGGAAGGGGCCAGTACATGACTATAAAGAGTGTTAAATGTAGCAGGGATAGATTCATTTTCATCTGCAGCCTCATATTTGATTCTCAAAATAAGAAAATATCTTTTGAAAACGCAAGATAAAGGGTGAGAAATTTTCTTTAAAGGGAATTTCTCTTATGATCTGCTTACTACACAGTTATTTTTCCACCATGCTCTGTGTTCTTGATGCCAATATTTTTAATAATATTATTACACTCTGCTGTAGACAGATCTTAGTCAGTTGTTTTCAAGGGACACTAGCACAATAGCCTAAGGACAGAAAATAAGTGTGCTGTCATGGGCAATGTACCCAGCACAATAAGCTGGTTGGCGGGTGGCAGCAGGCTTGCCTGTTTGCCACAAAGCAGTCTTGACTTTGGGAGCAAACCCAGGGATTTTGTTGTCAGTTCTGGAGAGCAGGTGTAACAATGACGTGTTCATTAGCACAGACAGTTTCAAGGACAGTTACTGATTTGTTGCTGCTCAACCTGACTTATTTTCACCTAGATTTTTACAGAGCTAACTACAGCACTCTAAAAGAGGAAACATCTTAGTTCCATCCATCACAGAAAAAAAAATGATGTCTTAGATTGCGGAACAAGGAGGGGAAATGCATGCTACCTTTACTGCAGCCACAAGAAGAGGTTGCCAACATCTGGGTTGGCTTGAATCCAGATTTCTGATTTTACAGTAATATTTCTGTATGTAGAATCTACCTGTGGAGTTTTAGATATAAATTTATTATATTTCTGCAACATCTGGGTCCATTTTTATTCCCATATTAATTCCAGTTTTCAAGTTTCATCAGCTAGGATCATATAACCATTAGACTACCCATCACCAACTGAGACTAGACCCAATTCAAGAAGATCAAGCCTTTTCCCATCTTATCCCTAAGGGAAAGTATCACATCAGTCACTGGCAGCATTGGCAGAAGCTGATGAGGAAATAGGAAAAGAAAACATGATTGGTGGGTTTGTTTTTTTCATTTTGGGGTTACAGTTCAGGAAAACTGGTGTTCCCAAATGAACTGTGGGGCATATTCCCCAGTTAGAAACTGGGACAGCTTCTAGTGGGTCAGAAAGCATGCTGTATCAATAAATGCTCAACACTTACAGATGAGTTATACAAGTGGCTTGCAAACACTTTACTCAGTCTGTGTTTATTTAGCATTTCAGCTTGGGTGTGTACATTGTCTGGCTTCCAGAGTATTATGGCCAAAATCCCAGTTGTGCATCTAAGGTAACTCCCAAAATAAGAGCCCGCTTGTCACATGCTGAAGGGGCAGCTGTTGATGACTGGGTTTGATCTGTTTAATAGTGCCACAGATTTGCAGATAAACCTCACCATTAAGGAAACATAAAGCAAGTTTCTAAAACCTCACCCTTCTACATTTCCCAATACTTGACAACACAGCATCTTTCCCTGCTGATTTTTGCTTCTTTTCTCTTGGCAAACCCTACTTTTCTCTCCATCCTCCCTAACTAACAAAACACCAGCCAACATGACAATGGCCTTGTTTGTTAAAGGCATCATCACTTATGTTAGGGACAGTGTGCAGACAGTTCTGGCTCAGAGATGGCTGGTTTATTTGTGTTCTCTCTTGACAGAAGTGTAATGAAAAAATTCATCATTGTACTTTAGGATTGGTTTTCAGTTACAAAGTGCCACAAAGCATCCTCTTTCCTTTTCGTCTCACTCCTGTGCTCAGTTTATTTTGTCAGAAACTACTGTAAAAAGGAGGAGACAAGGAATAATGAAAATGAATAATTCATACAGCAGACTCCACTCGTCCTCAATACATTTGTCTGCCCTCAGCACAGCTGTCTTTCCTGTGTAATTAGACACAGATGTAAAATGTAATATTGGCTCTAACAATATGGTTCAAACTTATAGAAAAATAGCAACTGCTCTGAGTAATTCAGTGGACTTTGAGGTATCTTGCCTTCAATTTCTGTCTGACAATACAATAAGATATGGCTATGAGCAGACTGACTATTTGATGAAAAACAGGCAAAATGAAAAAAGGAAACAAGGCCTTTTGAATCTGAAATATATATATGTGCATCTATGGAGCATATGACCAAATCAGGGCAAATTTTAAAGTATATCAGATGTTGGGATTGACTCAGGCAATCATGTTTCTTAAATGAAGGAAATAAGATAGACAGCTGTGTGTGTGGTCAGGGCTGATTAAGTCAGACTTTGAACCAAGATGTGATCAGGCTTTTGTGATACTACAATTAAAAAGTTCACTCCCTCTGCTCAGAAGTAAAAGGATGAGAAGCAGAGCTTTTCAGAGTGTGTGTGTGCATGTGCATTTGGGCACATTTTAATTTTCAACCCTTGTGCTTAGAGCAAAAAGGCTTGTTTTCCTGGAGACCTTTTTTAATGGGTCTACGTGCCTGCTTTATTTTTTAAGCTAAGCAAGGGTGAGTACAAAAGATGGTGCCATTTCAGAAGGATCCCTTAAGCCTCTGAATAAGCCACAGGAAAGAGCCAAGGATACAGCAGCTTTTCTAACCATTGGTTAGGAAACGATTAGGCTTCCGAGTCAAAGCTCCCATACAAGTCTATATCCAAAGTACTTAATCCTGTGTTGTCACCCCCAATAACAGGCAGGTGTGTGCCTTGCTCTGGGGCTCTTTTAATGCCTTCCTTTTTAATGTAGATCTAAGCAGTGTCAAAACAAGCACATGACCTGGCTCTCATTCATCCCCAGCTGCTAGGAACAGGAGAAGCAAAGATACAGGACACAGACTAAAAGACACAGATTCACACTTGTCAAATTTCAACTTGGGTTTTTTTTTTTAAGGAAATGTCTTTGCAGTCTTACATTAGAGGGTCAGCAAAGGGTGGTTTGGATAGTGCCAGGATATCCAATTGTTATACAACTTTTCTTTTTTCCTTAGCAGTGATTATGAGAGAATGCTGTTCATTATTATGACTAATGCTTAAAGACTCTCTCTAGGCCTGGGCAATGTTCTGTTAACTTTCTGGGAGCCTGAGGGGGATGTCACAGCTGAACCTAGACTTTGCTCTGGATGGCAGAGCACTCTTCAAGCGTGCTTTCTCAAAGGGATTAGCACAGCATTTCATTCAGCTTTTTCATCAGATTTCCTTTCCCAGCTCAGTATCTACTGTACACAAGGGGCAAGTTTTGATCTCCCATTGAGGTGTTTGGTTTTTTTCCTCTGAGTTCAAAATAGGAAGCTGAGGACCAGGTTACTCTCACCAAAATCATCCATTCAGTCCACTGTTCGCAGTTTATTACTGCTTTTCAGCACTTGCCCAGTGGGTGGGTTTTTCATTTAGTGTTGTTAGTTTTGCACTGTTTGCTTGGTTATCTCAAAGTGAGATGATGCCTTGGAATTGGTACATTTAAATCCTCACAAACATGCTAATCCAGAAGTGGCTGCTCTTCAATTTATGATGAGCAGGCTGAGGTATGAGAGGAATGTACCTGATAATCTAATTGTCTTATTTCTTACGTATTAGCAACGCTCAAAACAGTAACTTTTTTTTAATAACTACAGTTGTTTTTAGGGTCACAAAATCTGAATAATTTATTCAGACCAAACCAGATTCAGTTTAATAGCAATACAAATTAAACAAACTGAAAAGATGGACTAGAAGAGGGCCTCTGTCTTGCATCCAGCATGAGGCCTTTCAGTTTAATATCAGCTCTAGGCAAAAGGAGCTGAAGATGGTTCTGGAGGTGAACTCTTCCCTCTATCAGACAGTCTGTTCTAACCAAAACAACTATGCCTGTCTATGCTGGTGTTGCTTACACTGATAATAACCAAAGTAATGAAATATTCCCTGAAAATTCTGTGCAGAGGTGCAGCATAACATGAAATTCATACACACACACGTAAAGCACGTGGCTAAGTGCTTGGGAAATCAGTTCTTTCATCATAAAAAACCACTAATCTATTAAAGTAATTTGTCAAATGTAATTGTGGTCAGTCTTCTCACCTTAAATAAAAAGCACAGACTAACCACCCTCTCTCAGGCTTCTCTTAGCTCTGTAGCTATTTCTGCAGCATCCCTTCTGTTTCCACATGGGTACAAACATCGTGCACACATCAGTCTGCTCTCAAACCTGAGCCTCTCTAGAG